TGGAAGATGAAAATGTTGCTTCTGTGGAAGTGAAATTATGTGGATGTTCAGATAATGACTACGGTATAACTGGGGGAAAAAAAGTGAGTTTGGAAAAACTCAAAACAGGCGGAAATGAGAGCAGACCAGAAAACTAAAGCAAAGTACCAAAAAAAAAACTCCTCATACCCTCCTCTCGTTGCATAGATATAATTATTTTCAACCATATTTCTAGCATTGTCAACATTTGAGTTATCAACTACGTCTGCTTCTTCCTCTATAATTATCGGCCGTTATTGGTACTGTACACAACTCGATCAATGATTAAATTATCTTCGCTTCTGTCTCTCTTATTTGACATCCCGAACATTTGAAAGATTTTTTTATAATAAACTGTTCTTCGTACTGTATATAAAAAATTGTACAAAAAACGCATATTGGTTTGCTTTATGTCCGGGCTTTTTATGCGTTCCATACGCTTATGTATGGGCGTGGAATGCATTCCGTTGAACGTCGTACCTTCTTAGTTGTATTTGCATAATGAATATTTTTGTTGTTGCGTATAGGCATTCTGTGAAGTTTTCTTTTTTAGATTAATTCCCCCTGTACTCCCTAATATAGTATCCCGTGCAATATGGTAAATACGGTTCGTTTAGCGAGGTGCGGTTGAATATTTGTCGGCGAAATGATCACGATGTTATGAAAGTGTCAATACCAGTGTAGAAAATTCAGTTAACAGAAATTGATCTATAAACTGTATTCGAGATATTCAAATAATGAAATTAATTCTAATAGATCAGACGGAAAGAAGTATAACAGAATTAAAGGGTTCTTCAGGCAATTATTATTATTTATCCCACAAGTGAAATATCATTGAAGGAATCGCTTAAATTATTATTGTTAGTTTTAATAAAGCCAAGCGGCAAAAATTTTGATTCACTTTACGTATATGATACTAGTATTGCACAAACTGTCGTGCCATTTTCTAATTTAATCATTACCACATTTTCTCGAAACGTTAATAAGAATATCAGACGAAAAATATGAAAGCGATAAGGTCATAAACACGCCACTGTTATGACATAAATTGCATCATTGTTCGAATTAATCATTAAAAACTGGTTATTATGTAAAAATGAATATAATACCATTTTATAGCTGTATGGCTTATTAGTATTAGATAATCGTAATATCTTAGCATAGGCTTCTTTTAGTGCATTCAATAATAACAATGAATTTTATTTTGCTCATTATTAGACAAAAGCAACTTGAAATATTCAGCCACCTATTGTATTAATAAGACGGCGTAGAATGGGTTTGGAGTTTTCGATTAAAAAAAGTTTGATCTTATTACATGCTCTGATATTTCAAATATTGTTATAATATTTAAATGTTTATTCTAAATATAAAGACTGTTGCTTTGTATCTACAATCTAATTATATAAGAAATGTATATACAAAATTAAACTAAGCTTCACACACCATTCTAATTTGATATCCATCCTTAGGGAGAAGTAAGTTTTTACTCAAAGCTGCTGATTATATTGAAGATCTAAAGAAGTCAGGGAAGTACCTAATTTTAAACTTTCTGCAAAAGCTGTCGCTCCCGTATTTCCAATTTGATTATGTCGAAGGTTTAGGGAAGTTAGGTAGACATTTAATGTTAAAGCATTTGCCAAAGCTGTTGCTCCTATATCTCCAATCCGATTGTATTGAAGATTTAAAGAACTTAGGGAGAAATTTAGTTCTAAAGCTTTTGCTAATGCTGTTGATCCTGTATCACCAATCTGATTGTCTTGAAGGACCAAAGAAGTTAGGAAGACATTTAATTTTAAAGCTTCCGCCAAAGCTCTAGCTCCTGTGTCACCAATTTGATTTGCAGTAAGATCCAAAAAAGTCAGAGGAGAAGTCGATTCTAAAGGTTTTGCCAAGGCTGTTACTCCCATATCTCCAATCCGATTATACTGAAGATCCAAAGAAGTTATTGAGAAATCTAACTCCAAAGCTTTCGCCAATACTGCTGCCTCTGCCTCTGTGACTTGGGTATATGAAAGACTCAAACAGCTAAGGGAGAAATCTGAATCTAAAGCTTGGACCAAAGCTGTTCCACCTGTTGATTTTGTAAAATCATTTAATGCATTGTAATATTCTTTGCGGGTGAGAAACACTCTCCCCCTTAATTTCGACGATATTGTATCGTTTGGATCCATTTCTAACAATTCGTTGAGATCATGCAATGCATTATCGTATTGTCCAAGTTTATAGTATATGTTCCCCCTTGTTCTTAATGCAGTTACGTCATTTGGTAAAATGTCTAATAAGTTACCGAGGTCTTTCAAGGCTTCGTAGAACTGTTTCATGCCACAAAATAGTTCAACCTTTTCTCTTAACGTAACTACACTATCTGGTTCAATGTTCAATGATGCATTGAGATCATATAACGCATCATCATGCTGTTTGAGGTTGCTGAAAACTTTCCCCCTTAGCCTCAGCGCAATGGCATCGCTAGGATTTATATCCAACGATTGATTAAGGTCGTTTAAAGCATCGCCATATTGTTTGCGATTGGCGAAAACTTCTCCCCTTATTCTCAACGCGACTGCATCGTTGGGATTGATTTCCAATGCCGTATGAAGGTCCCCCAGCGCATCAGCATACCTGCTGAGATTGCAAAAGACTGCACCTCTCGTCCGCAGTGCAATTCCATCGTTTGGCTGAATCCGTAATGATTCGTTTAAGCAATCTAATGCTTTTTGGTGTTGCATCAGATTGCAGTAAACTTCTCCTTTTAGCCTCAAGTCGTTTGCTCGAGTTGGTTCAGCGTCAAGAGCATGCTGATGAAGCATGGCATAAGCATACGTCATCATTCTGAATGCTACAGCATTGTCCGGCTCAAGTTCCAGAGATTTAGCAAGATCTTTTAATGCTTCCTTGTATTTATTATTATCCATGAGATAGCTAGCCCCACTATTTCTCAGCTCAAGCGCGTCGTTTTGCGGAATAGTTGATTGCGTAGACATTTTAGATTTTGACTTTATGGTGACTTTCTTTCTGGACGAAATTTTTACTAAGCAATATTAGTATAGCGGACTTTTATATTAATGGATATCCGGACTAATTTGTCCGAACACATTTAATATCGATGCAAACGCTGTTGTGTAATGAAGTACGGTATGCTATTATTTTAAGAATAAGAAGTCCTCTATTCCAAAAAAAAAGCCAAGATAATGTCGACACCCGTAATAGCCAATTTAAATAATGCACCGAAAAAGATGCCGCAAGAAAGTGATGTGAATAAGCAAACCGCGTAACATTAACAGCAAAAAGAAGAGCTGCGCGTTGATATTGCGGACTAAAAATTCGGGATATCGACTTTCACTGTATAAGCGTGGGACAAAAAAAAACTGGCGCTTTTGTTGTAACATTTAATCGTTATCATGCATGTTTTAAGACATATTAATAAGCAGCATATTTGGGTGATGAATGGCGGTTCAAGACAATAACTCAGACATACTAGATGCCTCGCTAAAACCTTTTTCGGGATAATATGCCTGAATATAGGGTTATAGACTGTTCTAACAGCCCTGACTTAAATCCAATAAGAGAGTCTCTCTGGAGTATTGTCAGAAAAGACAATGCCGAAAACGTTTTATGGTCATTCAACCCCAATTGGGTTAGTACAACAATTAAACGCCTCAACCCAAAAAAGCAGCCTTTCATACAAATTTTCTTTGTGTAGCGATTAATTTTGCTATGACCATATTACTATTACTATATACTGCTTAATACTTTGACCCGCTGTTCCGGTTTGTGTAGCTTGCCAATAAAGTCTTGATATAATTAGTATTTACTATTAAGAATAAAAAATTGCATACGTCATTTGTTTTTCATACTTTCATTGAAATATATTACTATTACAGTACAATTGTCTTTAAAGCAGACTAACTTTTAAAAGAGCAGTTACTCGATAAGTCGGTCATGCATGATTATCGAGAGAACCGACTTATCGAGAGAACCGACTTATCGAGAGATTTTAAATATTAAAACTGAGAAAAGGACTTGGGAAGTTGTAGCCTTCTTAGGATCATCGAGAGACCGACTTATCGAGTTTGCCTGTGTATAGATCAGTTGTCACTTTCCATATTGTTGTTCGAACGTTTTATAATCATTTTTTGGCAACTTTGTGTATATTAATACTGATTGGTCTAATGTTTAGAATTATCATTACACTGATTATGATATACGCTCAGCCAAATTTCTACAGTGACGCATCTCAGTGAAACTTTAAATCTATTAAATGCACAGTATAATTCTCTCTCTTTTTTTTTCTCAGTCTGAGTTTAGATAATGTGGCTGAGATTCCTAGCCTTAACCATAGAGTGATTTAACCATTTTGATATTGGTAAGTTGGAAAGCTTGAACTTACCGCTTTATTTAAATAAAGGCCTTGTTATTATTATGCCAAACCCTCAAAGTGGTCAATATTACATATTGATTGGACAGTTGTTGCTCGATTTAAAATAAAAAGTTACTGGGTGCAAGTCAGGACTATACAGACATTACTGTATGCTTAATGCTCAAGTAAAGTAAAGCAAAAACGCATATTTTATTTAAAATCAATACTTGATTAACATGTTAGTAATCTGTTCTTCTCTCGTTATTCCGCCGTTATTTTCTCACTCTCACCAACCCCCCGCTTTAATTACGATCTAAATCCACGTGATTCAAATTAAATTTTACCAAAACATACTAAAGCGATAGATTTTGACACGACACGTGTACCAAACCATAGTAATTGGGTAACACAATTTGACAACATTTAATCTTTCTTGCCTTTTTGCCCTCGCACTCCGCGCGCATACTATTTTACTCGCTTCTTCACCTTTTCTCTGCTGTCCAGTGTCTACAATCCGCTCCAGTGATTCTTACAAGTTACATATATTGATATAATGTATCGTTGCAGGATCTGTCAGCAACCAATATGGAACACTACTCGTATTCTTTGTGATATATGTGATGATATGTATCTGTGTGTTGGTTGTTTTTCACAAGGAAAGGAGATCAACGGACATAAGAAGACACACGACTATAGGGTGATTGTGCGTAGATCAAACGGGTTTAAAAGAGTGGAGAGGCACGAGGAGGAAGTAAACTTTGGTTAGATATGTGGGATTAGAGGATCAGAATAGTCTATTGTCCATTACCATATCTACAACAAAAACGCGTATATTTCACACACGTTAATTCTCTTTTCTGTATGCAATAGGCACAACCGACATTTAGCTTTCCTTTATACACTAATGACTGGGATGCTGAGGAGGAATACCTCCTGATCGAACTATCACAAACACTCGGTTTAGGCAATTGGGTTGACGTAGCAGATCATATAGGAACAAAGACGAAAGAAGAGTGTGAGCAACATTATATTGAAGTGTATTCACAAAGTCCTAATTGGCCTCGGCCTGTGAGTTGAGCCATAGAGTTTGGTGTTTTTTTTGGCGGGCAGGGAGTCTGGGTTTACATCATTTGCGTAGCGTCACTATGATTGAAATCTTTTCTTTTTTTACGCTAATGTTTCCTTTCAAGATCGACCCCCTGGAAGGGACGACAAGCGAGAAAGAAATGCGCCGAAGGAAGCGTAAGCGAATGGACATCATATACGAAAAAGCAGGTTAGGAAGCCTGAAGAAGAACTTAGCAGTTGAGGCGTTGATTTGACGGTATTGACGCTGTGAAAATGTTGGTTTGTTGTAGCATTAGGTTTAGTGGAAAAGCCTGAGAGGAAGGTGGGTGAGAGGAGGGAAGGTGACGAGGAAGGATATCATCTGCTGCACGTCGAATTGTCATGCAAAAATCATATCAAAACATCCAGCGTCTTTTTTCCCCGGATGGGGACTTTTTGTCAAAGCTTTTTTCAAACTATCCACGCCTCATCACCTTTTCTCCTTACAAAACCACTTACCCATGATCTTTATTTAATTCCTTTGCTTCGTTTTAGATTCTCCAAAGTATGCCAGCCAATCATGAAATTCACGGGTACATGCCAATGCGAAAAGAGTTTGAGCACGAAACAGATAACGACGCCGAGGCGATAATTAAAGATATCGAGTTTACAGATGAAGACTCTGAACAGGATCGAGGTGGGTGCATGACCCTTTTGGATTTGACATCTATATTCATTTCTTTTCCTGGAATTAACCCTTCACTGTTCTCATTCTCTTTCGCTACCTATTTTATTATAATACTGGACATATGACTCAGCATTAAAGTTAGCTGTGCTGGAAATCTATAATAAGAAGTTACATAAAAGAATAGAAAAGAGAAGGATAATACACGAATATGGCTTAATCGACTACAGACAGGTGAGTTTTTAGTAGGATGATGAAATTACGATGATGAATTATGATGTGTGTGAACAAATTTGTTATAGATAGTATGGAGGGGAGAGAGAGATTAAACTGTTATATAGTTAAGAATTAATGGTAACCAACCGACTCACTAACAAGCCGCGAACTCCTTAGATAACAATGACAGATAAGAAGCGCCCGAAAGAGGAAAAAGAACTAATAAACAGAGCCAAGCCGTTTGCAAGATTAATGACAGGTCCAGACTTTCAGGCATTTTTCGAGGGTTTAATAAGTAAGTTGTCGTGAACGTTTTGTGCATTACCAAACGCTTCGTTCGGTCCTTTCCTGATTCCTGTTATTTACGATTCCTACTTCTTATCCGCAGAAGAACAGTATCATCGACAACGAATTGATCAACTTCAAGAATGGCGTCGAATGGGAATAACTAAATTGAAAGATGGTGAACTATACGAGAAATTGAAGGCTGAGCGGGTGAGATGTCTCTATTATGATTATTCAACTTGTTTCTATAAGATGGGCTAGTGTTATTGATTTATATCCACAAGTAAGGTGGAGTGATAATATATATGACACAATACATACATTGGTCAGGAGCGTTTCCACACATTAATAGCTTGACTCAAGTTCCCACCTTTTACTTACCCTCTTCTACCGAACGATCCTCTTTTCATAGGAAACAACTCGTGAATCGTCAAGCCGGCTATCGTTATCGAGTAGTGGAGATCGAGGGATGATAAGAGATGGAATGTTTGGTGATGGAGAGGTAAGAATGTGAATGGTTGGCTACATATAGGCCGTTTTGTATACGAATATCTAAATTCTTACTTCTAATCTACACTTTTTTCCAAAGCCGTCAACTCATCCAGTAGCGCACAATCCTACTATTCGGATAGTGCGCAAAGCTGCAGGTCCGATAACTCTCGATGACGAAGAAGGTGTTGAATTACTCCTCCCTGCTGAGCGCAGACTCTGTGAACATCTTCGCATACCACCTCATCCGTATATGGCCATAAAAGCGACTATTCTAAAAGAATACGCTAGGTTAGACGGTCACATGCGTCGTAGGCAGGCGAGAGAGTTGATTAAGATTGACGTTAATAAGACGAGTAGGATCTATGACTTCTTTGTCGAGATGGGATGGATTAAACCGCCACCACCTTTGTAACGGAATTTAAGATGTAGGTAGATTAAGAGAATTGACGTGGGAGATGTGGCGAGTGTTTTGACAAAATAAAAAGAGTAGACTTAGAAGAATCTGGAGTGAAGTGCGTGCAACTGAGGTATCAACAACTGCATGGAAAGGTTAGTTAATTCCTGCCGTGTCGCTCTCACTACTCCAAAGCATTTCAATAATTGATGAATCTGTACATAACGCAATTTCAACAAGTTTTAATTATAAATAAAAAGTCAACAAGTCCTCATATTTATTATCCCTCCGATGTATTGTTTGTTAGACGTGGAAGGGTGAATGCAGAGAATACAGTTGTTCTTGTTTATATTTCACATATTGCAAGAAAGCCTGTCTTGCTTCCGATCATTATATTCCCCTTTTTTTCTTCATCATTCTCTTGGTGTTCTCTTGCTTCCACATTTTTTATCCTAACTTTCCTTGTTTTAAATCGCAATCTCTCTAATTCCATCTTTATCCACTACTTTGACTGTAAAATGTGATAGATTAACAAGGAATCTCCTTTGTAGCTCACCGACACACATCTTCATCAATGCCTTTGCTTCTTCGAGCGAAAGATCTGGACGATGATAACGATCGAAAATAGAAAAGAGGAAATGTGCGGCGTAACCATGAGCAGCGAAGGGAGCAGAAACCGAGCTACCGAGATAGTCGAGCTGATAAAGGCTAGGCAATTCAGTGGTAAGATCATAACCGGCCAGAATGAGATTTACGCTGTATTGTTTCTAAGAAGAAGAAAAAAATGGAAAAAGAGATGGTGAGATTGGCAAGACATGGGTCCAATTGGCAATGCAGATTGTTATTTCAAAATTTGTTGCCGTTGCACTTTATTTGGACAGTATCTACTATACGGTATCAAGATGAGTTTAAAATTGTAATATTGATTATTTTGCCCTCAAAATCTATAACTGATTCAGTCTACATTCCATTCGGGGGTGTATATAGATAATCTTAAGAGATCTCGACGATTGCCAAGAATACACGTTCGCTCAATAAACCCAATTCCACATTCTTACGGAATCAACTGTTTATTGCTCTGAAAACCACCCCTCTTCCTTCGATTCTCTCGCTCTTGCTTGTATCATCATACCTCCTTACATTTCATTCAAAAACTCACCCTTGATCTCAAGTTGTCCGCCAACTCTCTTCGCGTGAAAGTAGCGGCCGACTTTGTTGATAACTCGACCCCATTTCTAATCTCGTACAGCCTCACGTTTCTCTGAATAAACTCTGCGAATTGCACAGTATCCCCCGACTCCCCGGCAAATAGTAGAAGGATACGTTTGCTCAAGGCGCGGGATTTGTCCTCGGTAGACTTTACGATAAGTATGCTCTGTGCAACGGTACTATCTGTGGCTGTCATAACAAAGTCTTTGCCGGTGAACCCAAAGATGCATTCCATGGTTTTTTTTAAAAAGAGGTTGAAGAAAACGTTCAGTTCAAAGGGAATTCAAAGGGAATTAAAAAAGTTGCGTAATATTAATCATGACGTTTTAGAGATTTTAGGTGAGCACGTGACATAATTGTGGAACAACGCGTGTAGTATTCATAGCTGAAATTGGTTTTTTATATAAAAAAATAAACACTTGGTTAGACCGATAGTGATATCCTAAGAACATGCTATGCGAGATGCTTCGTCTCTCGAGTCGTTATTGAATTTAATGCCAAAGACGGTTCCTTAGGATCCGCGTGCTGAATTGATTTTACGTTTGCTTAATTTGCTGCTTCTGTAATACACGCACTAAACGCACGTCTGTTAGCAACCGTGTTGACCAAAATGTGCATTAACAACTGGTCAATTTTATCTCTTTGGAAACAATACTTGTCAAATTCTACTAACTTGCTTTGTTGAACAGAAGATGTCGTGGTTAAGTGTCATTGTTATTATAGGTTTCTGAACATCACTATTGATAGTTTTGATCAGAATTATTAATTCAGGCCATAATTGAGGGAGATCATTATGAAGAAGTTGATGGCTTTAGAAATGTGTGGTGACATCAAGCAGATTTAATAAATTTAATACTATACCATGGTACTTTACAAGTCTCTCGTGTAACAATCTGATCATAGCCCCATGGTACTTTGCATTCCATGGGCTTCAAAATGGTGGGGTGGTACTATGCTAGGGGTAGTACTTTAGTCCGTGAAATACGGTATTTTAACGTTTATGCTGCTAAACGAATATTAATGATACACACATGTTTTTTGCAAACCCAAATTAGTAAACCTCGTGCAGATTGCCTAATCTATAATAGTTCGAGCGAGAGTGTAACTAGCACTAACATACTCACCTCGAAGTTAGGATGCAGAATGCTATACACACATTAGCCTACTGGATCGGGCATACAAGTCATTAACAAAACAGCCCCTTATTGTATTGTTATTATTTATTAGCCTGCTGCACCCCTGATTTGGGATAATTATCGTGCGACAATCTATATAAGTTAAAAACGTCGTTGTTGACTTGCTTTCGATCTTCCAGTCCTTCGATAATGTCTACATACTTTGACACTCTCACGACAAATTACACCCAAGTACCTGTTACTGATGATGGCATTGCTACTCTACCGTTTACAGGGGCAACTGATGGCGTCGTTAAGTTGTTTGGTATGGAATAATGATTGACGTGCGCGATTGTAGATTGTTATCAGTTATTAAGAGCAATGTCGGGATGAGAATCATGTGTGTTATGGGAAAACTGTATCATATACGTAGAGATACGTTATAAAGAGAGTTGTCGGGTCGATGGTTGATCATATGTAATATGGTTCGTTCTTTTTGACTAGATTTACTCGGCTCAATTGCATTTACCATAGTTCAGAATGATATGAATGGAAATCTGAAGGTATATAATCGTCTATACAACACATGGTTTCCTTACGTAACTTTATTAATGGGCTATATTATTGTATTTTTTCACATAAGAAAATCAGAGATCGTTATGAACTTAATACAGCGGCAAATTCTACTTTGGAAAAGTTAGTCATAAATGAGAAGGATGAGAAGAAGAGGGTTGCTACCGAAGGATTGCTGTGGCTTATGCGGTGAGAATGGCAAGATCAGTGCTGCGGTTGGACATGAAGTAGACGATTATATTTTTTATCGGACTTTGCTAACATATTCATATAATCTTGCTCCAGTGGATTAGAATTCACTTCTGTGGCATTGCGTAGACTTTTAGACAATCCTGATGAAGAAGTGGGTGCTGCGTTTACTAAAGCATATGGCGATACATTGAAGAAATATCATGGATTAATAGCTAAAGGGGCATTTACGGTAAGTGTCATCGGATCGTTAAATAATATACAATTGTGGCTTCTCTTTATGTATACATCTTACGAAAAAATCTATAAATACTCTTCAACCTATTCTCAGGTTGCAATGAAGGCATGTCCATTGCGCGACGACTTTTTCAAAAAATTAGGGGAAGACCAAGAGCGCGTCGTGGAATTATTTAATATATGGTTGACTGCACTCGAAGGGCTGGTGGCGAGATTGAAGACATTTTATACTTCGGGTGGATATGACAAAGGATTCTAAACGGTGCAATTATTTAATATTGACGGGATCTTACACTATAATTTCTTTAGCGTTCCAGGACTCAAACAACAGCAAACTTTAACCCCATCATATATCACTAACAATACAATTAGTTTCATGACGATGCTTTTATTCCATGGAAAACGGATTTGTCAATTAAACCCTTTCTAGAGTATATTATAAAGTCTTAAATAAAGCCAAAGAGCACAAGAACTATGTTGAATTAATTGCTCAGCTTCGTAGGCGGCAAGTGATTTTTTAATCGGTCTATTGTTTATAGAGGTGAAAGAATAAAATTATACGAGAAAATTTATTTTAATTAGGTTGCAATGTGTCATGTAGACGAAATCTTCATCATATCATGCCACAGTAACGTAATGTATGGAATATATTTTCATGAAGGGTATTCACCCTAGTTTCTGTTTGCATATGCCTTTTCTAATCGGTGTGCCATATGAAGCTCTCAACTGGAGATCGACGTTAGTCTTTGGTTTCTTATGTGATTTGCGCAACAATTGCTTTGCTGCTGGAGACAGCATCGATGTCCGAAGCGGACTGGCAATTCTATTTTTCAGAGGGTTAGTGTCACGACATTCTGGATAACTAACGCAAGCTAATAAAATTCCCAAATTTCTCACCTTGCAGATAACCCAGTGGGTGTCGAATTCCTTGGTGACTTCATCGGTGTAGTACGTTTACGAATATTACGGGATGCACTACTTGAAAGTGCCATCCCGATTATCTCTCGTCGAGGGGTAGGAGGTAACTGGAATGCACGTCCTACAACAATGACATATAACATGTGTTAGTGCATTGGTAGATTTAAGTAGACGTACACCGATCGCTGGTGCATTTTACATACCAGGTGTCTGATCACCGCTAATTAGCAAAGGTGAGCCTTCTATCGTACCCCATGTCATCAATTCTGAACTATCGAGCTGTGAGGGTGCCGGTGAGGGTGTTGCCGAAACAAACGCATATCCACCAACTTTTGGAGTCCCGCTTATGCTGCTAGCAGCTATAATACATTTAAATCACAAGGCCTTTTAGAAAAATCCATCTACATATGGACAACAAGCAAGAAATAAAAGTATGGGTCATACGCACTTGGACTCGAAGTTAAACTTAACCCAGCAGCCATAGCAGCTGCAGCAGTAGCGGCCGCATGATTATTTATGTTCTAACGCAAGACAGGGAGGCAAACGTCAATGATCGATATTCTACAGATTCGGAAATACACAAATTATTTGACAATTCACATATCAAAGAAGTTATTCAATTACCACTTCATCAGGTGATTCAAACCTCGTATTTGCGGGCGCTATCTGTTTTGGTGCGCTCCTAATGTTTTCCTCAGCTTTATAAGGTTGACCTTCCGGATAGAACATTAGCGCATTGGGAGGCTACATGCAACCAGTTAGATTAGAGATAAAAAAAATCCAAGAATAACATCTACAACTCCAAACAGAATGATTACCTTTATCTGGCTTCCACTACTGTTGCCCGGTCCTTCAATAAGCTTTGGTTCATTTCCACTACTTTCTAATAGTTTCTGTGGTTTACCCTTTGACTCAAACATCCATTTTAACTTTTCCCTTCTTTCTTCACTCTGTTTTCTCATTAACTCTGCGAAAGTGCGAAAAAAAATCACATTGGTTAAGGATGTTGTAGCGTACCCACGTATATTGTTACGACGAGAATAAAACGGACAGTTGCATTTAAAAATGACTGAACAAGACAAAAGACAAATGAAAAAGAGTATTTAAGAGTTCTCATAAAGGATATGAAGCATTGTCTTCACTTGTATACTTGTCCTGGAAATTATCCAAAGACATGTTGGTATCTACGTGTTTTTCACTTGCAGCATCTGTTTCTACTACTCTTGACGATGTGGTTCTCGGAGTAGGAACTGGGGAATCCCATTCACCATGAGGCGTCATTGTATCTCGTATCCTCGGGGTTGAGGCTGAATGTTACGAATTTTGAGTAAGATGCGAACGGAGTATTGATTTGCAAATCAACTGACAACGAACCTGTTGGTTTTCTTTGCGGTGTTGCTATTTCTGTTAATCTTACTGTAGCTAGGCGCAACTGTTCAGGATTATTAGAACTTAAAGCATCCAGGTATTCATTCTGTGCTTTCAAAGAAGCCACTGTAGGGAAGTAATCTCTAGCAATGATTTCGCTGATGGCTTCAGTATATGTGTCCTCGTCAAGTGTTTCTGCCGGCTTTCTAGACAATGTTGTTGAAGTAGTAGCCGTTGATCGCGTTAAATCTTTTGACATAATTAGTAGGTTTGAATAGAAAGAAAAAGAGTCGTATGATTTTTATGATTGATTTGAAGCAAAATGACGTATAGTTGTATTGGTTAATATCACGTGAATTTCAAAATAATTCGGCGTATTTTTCTGACCATTTACAGATTAACAATTTTTGAACAACAGATTCGAAATGTTAAGAATGTAATACTTTACGCTTCCTACAACAATCAGGAAATTCTTTATCTGTGTAATAAATTCACTTGCAAGTGAATGTGTCTTTATTATTATTAAATGTTGAATTACACATTCATTTACTATTACATTTTATCAATTTAGTGGACAAAAGCGTCTAATTATAATACTAACTATAATAATAACCTGGTAATAATAATGAATAAACATTGAATATGACATGCCAACAAGTTCTCCTTCTGGATAGAAACTTTTCCTGCATGCATCATTGAAAGACATAACCTTAATATTGAATCACTATCTTAATCTTCTTGTCTCAAGCATCATAATCTCATAGAAAACTGCCTTCCCTCCTCTCCTCATATCTTAGTATTAGTATAGGACAAAGCATCTCTGAAAAAATGAACAGCTTCAAATAATAATAATTTGAGTGGAACTAAAGTTTATAAATTAAGAGTCAGAAAATAATTTGATTCTAAAGCCTTTGCCAAAGCTGTTGCTCCTACAGCTCCAATTTGATTAGACTTGAGATACAAAGAAGTCAGAGAAGAATTTGATTCTAAAGCCTTTGCCAAAGCTGTTGCTCCTGTATCTCCAATTTTATTATCCTGTAGATACAAAGAAGTCAGAAAGGAATTTGATTCTAAAGCCTTTGCCAAAGCTGTTGCTCCTGTATTTCCAATTTCATTATCCTGTAGATACAAAGAAGTCAGAGAGGAATTTGATTCTAGAGCCTTTGCCAAATCTATTGCACCCACATCTCCAATTCGATTAGACTTGAGATCCAAAGAAGTCAGAGAGGAATTTGATTCTAAAGCCTTTGCCAAAGCTGTTGCTCCTGTAGCTCCAATTCGATTCCACTGAAGATTCAAAGAAATCAGAGAGGAATTTGATTCTAGAGCTTTTGCCAAAACTATTGCTCCTGTGGCTTTAATTTCATTATTCCAAAGATTCAAAAAAGTCAGAGAGGAATTTGATTCTAGAGCCTTTGCCAAAGCTGTTGCTCCTGTTGCTCCTGTAGCTCCAATTTGATTATACTGAAGATTCAAAGAAGTCAGAGATGAATTTGATTCTAGAGCCTTTGCCAAAGCTGTTGCCCCTGTATCTCCAACTTGATTAGATTGGAGATTCAAAGAAGTTAGAGATGAATTTGATTCTAGAGCCTTTGCCAAGGCTGTTGCTCCTATACCTTTAATTTGATTGTGAAAAAGATCCAAAGAAGTCAGAGATGAATTTGATTCTAGAGCCTTTGCCAAAGCTGTTGCTCCTGTAGTTCCAATTTGATTATGATATAGATTTAAAGATGTCAGAGAGGAATTTGATTCTAGAGCCTTTCCCAAAGCTGTTCCTCCTGTAGCTCCAATTTGATTCTCCTGGAGATTCAAAAAAGTCAGAGAAGAATTTGATTCTAGAGTCTTTGCTAAAGCTGTTGCTCCTGTATCTCCAATTTGATTCTCCTGGAGATTCAAAGAAGTTAGAGATGAATTTAATTCTAGAGCCTTTGCTAAAGCTGTTGCTCCTGTACCTCCAATTTGATTATAAAAAAGATCCAAAGAAGTCAGAGATGAATTTGATTCTAGAGCCTTTGCCAAAGCTGTTGCTCCTGTACCTCCAATTTGATTATACTGGAGATCCAGAGAAGTCAGAGAGGAATTTGATTCCAGAGCCTTTGCCAAAGCTGTTGCTCCTGTAGTTCCAATTTGATTATACCAAAGACTCAATGAAGTCAGAGAGGAATTTGATTCCAGAACCTTAGCCAAAGCTGCTGCTCCTGTACCTCCAATTTGACTATCCTGGAGATTCAAAAAAGTCAGAGATGAATTTGATTTTAGAGTCTTTGCCAAAGCTGTGGCTCCTGTAGCTCTAATTTGATTAGACTGGAGATTCAAAGAAGTCAAAGAGGAATTTAATTCTAGAGCCTTTGCCAAAGCTGTTGCTCCTGTAGTTCCAATTTTATTATGACAAAGGTCCAAAGAAGTTAGAGATGAATTTGATTTTAAAGCCTTTGCCAAAGCCATTGCTCCTGTATCTCCAATTTGATTCCACTGAAGATCCAAAGAAGCCAGATATGAATTTGATTTTAGAGCCTTTGCCAAATCTGCTGCTCCTGTATCTCCAATTTGATTACCCCGGAGATTCAAAGAAGTCAGAGAGGAATTTGATTCTAGAGCCTTTGCCAATGCTGTTACTCCAGTATCTCCAATTTGATTATCCTGGAGATTCAAAGAAACCAGAGATGAATTTGATTTTAAAATCTTTGCTAAAATTATGGCTCCAGCATTTTTAATTTGATATCCCATAAAATCTAATAATAAACATTGATTTTGATAATTTTGTGCTTCCAATTGATCAAACAAAGATGATAACTGTTTGTAAAGAGTTCCATTTTGTTTGGTTTTTAAGAACATATTAATGTCATCCAGTGCTTTATTGTACTGACAAAGATCAAGATAGATAGCTGCTCTTATGCTTAGTGTATCCACATTATTTCCTGGTTGAATTTGTAATGATTTGTTGAAATCATTTAATGCATTATCATACTGTTTGAGTGCATAATAGATCTTTCCTCTTACTCTCAATGCAAATGTATGATCTGGTTCAGCATTTAAAAATTTATCCAAATTACCCAATGCATTGTCATATTGATTAACACCACATCTGATAATTCCCTGTTCCATTAAGATAACTATATTGCTTGGATCCATTCCCAGTGATTCATCAAGATCATTCAGTGCATGATCATATTGCTCAAGCATGAGATAAACATGCCCTCTTAGATGTTGTGCTATTGTATCAATTGGTTCAATTTGTAATGATTTATTGAGATCTTTTAATGCATCCTCATACTGACAAAGATTTAAATAGACAGCTCCCCTTGCAATCAGTGTGCTTGCATCATTTGGTTCAATATCTAATAGTTGGTTGAAATCATTCAATGCCATCTCATACTGGTTAAGAATGTAGTAGACGTTTCCTCTGACTTCTAATGCAAGTGTATCATTTGCATCAATCTTCAATGATTGTTTAAGATCTTTAAGAGCCTGTTTGTACTCTGATTGTTGCAAATAATATTTTCCACGCCAAGCCCATGCTCTGGCATTGTTAGGATTACTTTTTATGGCTTGAGTTATGTAATCATAACATTTTTGATAATTTAAATTCTCCATATATGCAACAGCAAGGTCAATTTGAATAGTTGCACTGTTGGGATAATGAACAAGTGCTCTTTCAAGCCATAATATTGCATCATTATATCTTTTTTCATCAAGAGCTTTCTTGCCTAGCTTGTATGTAGGATGTAGACGTTTTGGTCTCCTCATTTTTTGTAAGATAGTTTTTTTTGGTTTCATTTTAAGCAAATATAAAAACTTTGATTTTATAATAGAAGTTTCCTCAACATCATCATTGTCATCCTGACTTGCCACAATATTTGTAAAAGCATTTGTTTTGTCTTTTGGTGGTGTAATATATCCAGCAATGACAAATTTTTCATACAATGCTTTGTAAATGGGTGAACTTGGTAATTTTTCAGTTTCATCTAATTGACACTTTTTTCTACAATAAAAGCATTTCAGTTCAAGACAGTTCTTCTTGGAAGTTACCAATGCCAGATAACTTATTTTGTGCTTGCATGGAAGTATTCTAAAATCTCCTGTAACTTCCTGTGTAATTGGACATGTGAGATGATCTGCAACCATGTCTAAAATTAATGAATCATTTGGATTTGAATTAAGAAGTTCTTCAGGCATCTGCTCTGGTTTTTTTGCTTTCTGTCTTGAGTCTGACATTTCAGAATTTGCTTTGTTGCTTGCTTGATTAATATATAAATATTTTTTATCAATGTATTCTCTCATGTTCTGAAACCATTTATTATCCTGGTCCAAGGTTGAGAAACTTTCAGCATGTTGATCTAGATCAACTTGCACAACAGAAAATGTAATTGAATCTTTTCTATAAAGTGTTACCAGAACTTCCATTGCTTTAAATTGAATAAACTCTACTCTTACTATGTCCAGGGATAGTTTTGCAAGATAGTAACAATGAGCCAAGGTACTACTATTTTTTGTAGAGATTATAAGATTTTGAGCAATATCCAGTATGCCAAACAATAAAGAATATGGAACTGATTCTGAGATATGCTCTAACATAATTTTTGGTTTATATCCATTCATTTCTGATTTTACTGAAAGTGCCTTATGCCATTCCTGGTCTCCAAATCTCCAAAGATCCTTAATAAGCATCAATTCTCCTTTAGCAACTTGATTCTTATGAATTGGAACAGCTGACCATTCAACAAATGCTTGGTATATACTATATAAATATCTCCATTCCTTGTACCAATGTCCCACAGAAAACTTGGATTGTAAGGTCTTGTGAATTTTGTTATAAATATCAATGGTAGCATTGTTATCAATTGGAGTTTGTTCAACTGTCATGATATCAGTCATACTAGTACTAGGAGGTAAAGCCTTGACAATCACAGAAAACAGACCCTTTAACTGATTTATAATTTCAAGCAAAGCAATTTTATCATCATCCATCATATAAAGAGTATCATAAAGATGCATAAGTAAAAAATCAATGTTGTAATTTGGAGCTATAACACTTTCCTCTGAATTAGCTAACAAGCTGCATGTAGCATTTAAGCCATTATCTGATGCTTTGACATAAGACTGATAAATATCATGTAGTTGTACAAGATTCTCATACAGAGTTTCATAAAATTTCCTTGCCATTTTAAGAGGTCGCCTGCCATATACTTCTAAAAGTAATGCATATGTCCTACAATGCAGTTCCAATTCTATACCAGTAGTCTTTGTATAGTGATCATATTCAACCCCACTTGCTATGATTTTCAAGGCATTTACTAATTGATTATCATCCAATATAGTGCTGAATGATAGTAACAGGTTGTATAATTTAATGAGATGACCTGTTCTGTCATTATTTTTGACAATTGATTCCAAGTTGGTTGTCAATTGCTCATTTAATTCAGTGCTGCTCAGACTCGGGAGAAATGATTGTTCACAATCTTCAACATTGTCACTCTCACTGTCACTCTCAAAAGTGATGAGGTCTTCAGTGACGTCTTTAACCTCTGCATCTTCGTGCTGCTTTTCCTTCCCTTTGTTTTTGGTACCTGAAGATGATTGTTGTTCAATTTCCTAATATTATTGAGTGAGTTTTATTTTTATTGTGAGCATTGGAAGAGCGAAAAAATTCTCTTGAAAAGGAGCTTATTGAATGTATAACCAAAACTTACCCAGCTGTCTGCTGGCTCGTGGTCCATGCCAAATACAAAACTATTTATTTTCTGAAGCGGTGAAATTCGCTTGCTAGACCGATCTGGTCATTAAACCGATCTGAAATCTGATATATTCTCGTTAATATCAGGTGATATAAGTAAGGGGGAATTGCAAGATTGACCAATGAGAATATATCAGATCTCAGATCGGTTTAAATGACCAGATCCATTTATATTTATGCTTGTGTGATGTGATACAATTTAAATTGTAGTTGAAATGAACGAATCATTAGTATACACTCAGACATATTACAAAGGCAACCCCCGTTATAACGAAGGTGACATTTTCCTTCGGTATAACGGGGACAACGGGGTCACCCGTGTTAACCGATGATACCGATTCCTTCGGTTAAGCATAATGAATATTAAATAAATGCGCATTTAGCTAAAATAATAATTCGCTTTATTACTCGATGCATTAAATATTACAAATTAATTGTAAAGAAGTCGCCAAGGTTAGTTTGAACCTTCGAATCGCTAATCGTTTTGCATAAATTCTTTTTTATCTTGTTTAATTCACGCGAAAAGGTCATGCTGAGATTCAAGTTACCTTCCTCCTGTGCATGTTGTCAGTTTTTCAATCGAATCAAAGCCTCAGTAACTGTTACTTTAAGCTTTTTTGGTTCGGTTTTCTCCTCAACCACTTGACTAAAGCAAGGATCTCGTCATCGTCCATTTATATACTGCATTTTTATTGGTTAAAAAATTTTCTTCCTTCGGTTAATTCGGGTTATTGCGGAAAATTCGGTTTAATATTAACGGGTAAATTTGTTAAAAAAAAAATCATCGGATACGGGTAACAAAGGATTTCATATTAAAATTCGGTTAAGCGGGATAATTTCTATATGTTTGGATGGGGTTTTTGAAAATTCTTCGTTGCAACGGGATATTCGTTTCGTTATAATGGGGTTGTCTTTGTTCGACCAAGAGAGCAATACTAGTCAATGTGAATAAGCACGTCTCTACTAATAAGCCGGTTCTTTTTGCCTTGCTGTATAACTTATCAAACGATAAGAAATCTTCCACCTATTTAGCAAGAGCGAATGAGCATACTTATCAGGTAAGCTAACATTAAATAATATAAATAACACAAGTTGCTGAAAATATCCGTTAATCACTCGGATGTCACTAACAATTGTAACTCCTGCATTGAATTATCTCCCCCTACCTCCCCTACAGTGACTCTAATTTTATAATTATGGCAATACTTATTGTTCTCGTGGCATCCGAATAAGTGATTGCTCGAGTAAGAATTACTTGTAGGTATACTTATAGCAACTATATTATTGTACTATTCTTTCTGATGCAAAAATAAATTGGCGTCATTCATGGCTTTCATATCGGGGTATATCGTGAACATCATCCAATAGCTTAATACCAGTAATCTACTAATACTATTAACACAATATCAAATATAATCAATATCTATCGTTAACGGTACGAATATCGGTCACATTGGTTGTATTAGTTCATTACTAGCAAACTCTTTAAAGATAAGGAGCAATCTAGAATAGATTCATTTTTTAGTAATTGGTTCGACTTATTCTTCTTCCTGCACATATTTAATAAACATTATTTATGAAGCCTCAATATACCAAATAATGTGTGACCAATAAAGGACTCGAAAACTCAATATACCAAATATTACTTGACTTTAAGGCTAAACTTTGTTACAAAGAGGGTACCTCGTTTACCGAATTTCTCACTATAACAAATCATAGGTGTCTCCCCGGCTTCGGTATGAGGGGTTTTCGAACTGCCAATTTGCATTGTACTATCTAGAAAGTGTATCCTGGAATAAACCCATCTCACAAATTATTCGCCCGTGTAAGTTTCCCCATGTGAACATACTGATATGAAAAAGTAGCCCAAAACAAATATTTAATGTGTAAACTCAATGTATCTCTTCGTCGCTGGGGGGATATGTTTTATGCGAGTAAATTATAATATCAACTGCTATTATTATTATTGGATAATCATAATAAAAATTGTAGAAAGCGTTAAGTTGCGAATGGTCTGATTTTTAATCACTCATGAGACTACCTGAAGATCATAACATAACAGCTGACTTACGATGCCTGCGCTTGCATCATAAATTACGTCGCATTATTTATTATTAAGGCAACGTTCGTGTTTTATGACAAAATAATGGTTTGCTAACTATTCCTAAAATGCTGTTTAAAATTTTTGTTCGCCTATATTAGAAAAAAGCGACTCCTTCTCTCCAACAATAGTTAAAAAGGTACTTCCAAGCGATAAATGCTATAAGCGTTTAAGGACCGTCAGATTTAACGTTAACCGCACAGGTAGAAGTAGTCCAAAACTGCCAGCACTAACTCTGACAAATTTCAGCATTCAGCATCTGAGATGGATCTGTATTAGCATAAAAATAACACATTTCTTTCATAGATTTCATCTTAAATATGGTATTGTTCAGATAACACATTTCAGCCATATGACCAAATCAGACACGACCTGCATTTATAGATAATATGCATTTATAGAGAGTGAAATACTTAATGGTCTTATAATCACGGGACCAAACCAGAGCCTGCATTTAGGGAGGGAAATTATAGTGCCTGCACTTAGTACTAGGGAGAGTCTACTGTAGTATGATAGAGCTAATTATAATTATAACTGAAGATCATAACTCAAGAGATACAAAATCATGAAATATAATATAGCTTATATTATAACTTTGTTCCCAAAAGATTATTTAAGAGATCTTTTTACCTGCTCAGAAATGTGGTAAGATGCATGCCAATGCATTCTTGCAAAGTAACAAGCAATTATAATATTAAGTCAAATTAAAATATGGACCCTGGATAAGAGTAAATGCTTGTATGACAAAATATTTTTTGTTATGTTGAGGAATGATACAAAGTAGCAATTTTCTTATCATGTCAATACTAATATGTCTTGGTGATAGACATTAGCCATTAGCAGGTTAAACAAACAATATGATATTACAAATAAAGTTTTTGTTCAAGTGTACTATTACTATTTATATTACCATTATTAATTGGCTTGAAGTGACATCATCAACTATATTGATTATTACATACAACAATTTGATATGGTCAACCTGATTCTGAAGTGGGTCAGAACTAAAAGTTATCTATTGATAATCTTAATCTGTTTAATTCTCTTAAGATTACTTTGTGCCTTGTGATATCCTTGTTTAGCTGCTTTCCGATACAGCTCAAGTGCTTTTTGAATGTTTTTTTCCACTCCTGTCCCATTCTCATAGCAATTGCCAAGATTATTTTGTGCCATAGCATCTCCTTGTTTAGCTGCTTTCCAATACAGCTCAACTGCTTTTTGAATATTCTTCTCCACCCCTGTCCCATTATCATAACAAACACCAAGATTATATTGTGCCCTGGCATGCCTTTGTTCAGCTGCTTTCTGATACAATTCAACTGCTTTTTGAACATTCTTTTCCACTCCTCTCCCCCTAATATAACAAACACCAAGATTGATTTGTGCATTAGCATGCCCTTGTTCAGCTGCTTCCTGATACAACTCAACTGCTTTTTGAACATTCTTTTTCACCCCTGTACCCTTTTCATAGCAAACACCAAGACTAAATTGTGCATTGGCATGCCCTTGTTTGGCTGCTTTTTGATACAACTTGATTGCTTTTTGAATGTTCTTTTCCACTCCTGTCCCATATTCATAGCAAAAACCAAGGCTATTCTGTGCCATGGCATCTCCTTGTTCAGCTGCTTTCTGATACAACTCAACTGTTTTTTGAATGTTTTTCTCTACACCTGTCCCATTACAATGGCAAATACCAAGATAATATTGTGCTGTAACATTGCCTGCCTTTGCTGCTTTTTGATACCATTGAACAGCCTGTTCAAGATCCTTTTCAGTTTCTATTCCATATGCATAGAAAAATCCAATCAGCCAAAAGCATTGTCCACAATCAGTATGAGTCTTTAATGTAGCAATTGAACTTTCTTGCTTATCATTGTTTAGTATCAGCCAAGTTTTGATAAAATCAGCTGTCTTATCTATAGATTTTCCACTAAGTTGTAGCTTGTTGCATAATATTGACAGCTTATTAGAAAGATCATGATCTTTATATTGGTTAGTATCACATTTTGGTAACTGGTTCAGTTTTACCATTATGTTTTTTAATCTATGATAGCATTGTTCACTGGTTGGCCGTTTTTCTGGATTGTTGTCCCAGCATTCTGTATATAAATTTTTATACTCTTCTGGTGTGCCTGGAACTACATCATGACGACCACCATTCAGTCTGTAGATTTGAATGTCAAAGTTAGTCTTAAATTTACTACATGGATATTCTCTACTGGATATTTCCCATAAAATAATCGCAAAGCTAAAAATGTCTGATCTTTCATCTCGTTTACTGTCAATGTCATTAAAGCATTTAGGATCAAGATATGCATAAGTTCCTTGGTGATCCGAGCGAGTCTTTCATTGTAATATTTTTTCAGATGTCCCAAAATCCGTGATTTTAGCCGTTTTCCCATGAATTAATACATTATTCGAAGACTTGTGAAAACATAAGAAAGTAAATATATCAATGTACCGTTTACACTAATGGAAATTGTATTTATAAGTAATACGCTTACCAAATCTTTATGCAAGATTCCAACTCTATGAATATGTCTCAAGCCGTTTATAATATCCAAACCTAGTTGGCAGTTAGCAGACCAATCTAGTTTGATAGCTGACATTGATAAGTATTCACGTAACGAGCCGTTGTTGGCATAATCCAAGACCATCAAGTATCTTCCTTTGATATCTATTAGAATTCAGAAAGCATTATATCCAAGCCTATTTTCTAATACATCGAATGTTTTCATCATACCTTTGCTAATGCCAAGGAATCGAGTTATGTTGGGATGGTCATCTACTGTACGATGGATTTTGAGCTAGAATATGAGTCATAAATATCAGGACCACAATTTCACAGACTCGGGTGCAATTCCACCGTACGCAATTACAAACCTCTTTTACAAAGCACTTAAAGAACTTGTCTTCGTCCCAATATTTGATCACCTTGTATGCCACAGTGATGCCCGATGTTGCTACCGTTGCTTTGAAAACTACACCAAATGCACCATGACCTATGTAGTCTTTATCAATTAAACCGTCATAAGGATAGAATCGAATGTATTCACTTTCAAGACTCTTCTCTAACCATTGCTTGTCAGAGGCAATTGATGACATTGTAACTGTTGATTTCTAAGTCTACCGCACACTCTTTAATTGACTATATACATCATCGTGTTACTACGCACAACAAACACACCGTGTACTAGAAATTGTCTTCGTGCGACAGAATGTATTCGCACGAGGCCCACAATCTTTATTGTCTATATCAATTTGGCTGGTGATACAATTATGACTTGATGTAAACAGACCCTGAAATGGTAAAAGCAACGGTAGAAAAAAATCAATACAGTCGTTAATTCGCAATACGCACATGCAACAAAGAGTAGTCAAAATTGAATCAGTCAAATGTATTAAATCAGACTTTAGAATACCAAAGACGCATCTATTAGAAAGTACAGAAGTAAGAATCTTTGTAGTGTTTAATAAACTAACATCAATAATAACGCTATTTGTGTGATATTTATTTACTCCTCTTCTGGCTAGTCTTATCCGGGACATAAAATAAGGTATTGCCAATCAATTGTCGTTGCAAATGAAGTTTAACATCCGAATTTCAATGTACGAGAGTGCATCAATTTTGAACCGCGATAATAAGTTAATCGTGATTTTGCAGCACATACCGGATAGTATTATTCTCGTAATGTCAAAGCGACTCAGAATAAAAGTGAATTTAGTTATATAATAACCAAGGCACTTTAACAATTATGGTTATAGAGAATGTTAAAGTAAACTTTTGTCTAGTTGGTTTTTGCTTGTTTTTTGGTTCATCGTTATCTGAACTATCTTTACCTGCTTGTCGTTTATGTTGACTTGTTTAGATTTGATAGCGTCATCTCAACCACAAATTTAATTCGACGTGTAGCTTAAATGATTTTTCTAATCGAAAAGGCATAATCAATTTTAGAATTAGCAAGGTTTTTCGTGTCAGTAAAAAAATTTATAAGATATAAAACGGTGTTTGTAATTTAAAAGCGCGGTTAGAGTTTTTATATATTTGTTAGAACAAAATATTAATATGTATAGTATAATAAATGGTCGTTAATATTCTTGCGGCAAGATAATACCTCAACTTTATCGAATATCTAAAATAGTTTAATTGGCGGTTGATAATGTTAATGTGACGTTGAAGACTTTCAACAACGGGCATGCGCTGAGAGGTATTATATAAGAAGGTGTCTTTGGCCGCGTATGCAAAATTTCGAGTAACGTCTTCGGAAAATTATAAGCCAAGTACTTAATTGGATCGATGTGGAATAAATTCATTGTATTAAATGAGAATCGTGCTATCAGCAGTATGGACAAGAATAGAAATGTACCCAATTCTCTAATAAAACCAGTTATAAGATTTAATGGAATGCACTAACGGTTGTGCAAGTATTATTCTATTCGGTACAGGTGCGTTAATAATGAAGCAGATTTGTGTGCATTGTGTAGTCGTGTACTGCACGTGCTGGTAACTTTCGCAAGCTGTGGCCCGAAGCGCTTTCAATTCAAATGGTCAAGGAAGTCGAACTTCCAAACCAACCAGCGCTTTGAAAGCGATCAGTTGTGTGGTCGATAAACCGTGTCGTTGTACCCAGTAGTTTACCATCATGCCGAGGACAAGATTATTTTTCTCCTATTAACAATAATAAGTTGGGGAAAACATGAGTAAACTGCATCATCAGAATCACGGACCAATGAAGGTCGTGCATGTCAAGCGGCAACCACCCGTCCGGATGTCACGCTTGTTCGATGACTTCACATCAACGTCCCATGTACCTATTCACCACAGCCGCCTGTGCGCACAGTGAGCATCAGACGACCCT